CTCATAAAAATGACCCAATAAAGTAGGTAACAAAAAATTTGAATTCTTCCAAGAGCTAGTTCTGAATTTATCATACATAATATGTTTTATCAACTTTATTTTATTTAATTCCAGTTAATGGGTTATTTGCTCCACTGTGCAGCTTGTAGATATCAAATAGACACACAAATATTTCAAGTAATAAAAAAAAAATAGCCTTTCAAACTTACCTACTGATAAAAACAAAAATGAGAAATTTAATAAAATTTATTTAAACTTTGAAAGTCTCATTTCTACAAGCGTCTTGGACTGGGGACACGCAGCTAGTTTGATCCGCAGTGTTGCCAAATCGTGCTTGCCCCATTTAGCGCGTTTTATGAATTATCCTGCCTAATAAAGTGTGGTACGGAATAAACTGTGTAAAAGCAATGCAATGTTTCTTTATTAAATAAATGGTTGGACATCTTTTAGTGTATTAAGTTAGTTTGACAATACAATTTTTTTAGTATTTTAGGAGGGAGAAAAATTTAAAGAAGTTGTGCCTCCTCAAACCAAATCAAATTTATAAAATGTAAAATACATATTTAAAAAAATAAGACAAAGTAAAAGGGTTCCAATTTGGTAATGTGGTTGGCTGTAAAAGGCGCGTGGATATGTAATCCTGACTCTATTACCTCCCTGCAGAAGTTCTGTATGTGACATTGCAGCATTCTAACGATATTCTGTCCTCTGTTTAACTGGTCTATTTTTGCTGGGCGAATATGGGGGCAGCTTGCTCCAAGTAGAAGCAGCAAGCTGATTAATTAAGCAGGGTAGGAAAAGGTAAGAAAAGTAAACTACTGAAAGCAGGTATCAATGGATTCCATTGAATGGAAACATTAATTAAAAAACCCCTTTAAAAAATAAGCATAGAGAAAGTAAGGAAGAAAGCGACCTGCAGCACCCTGACTTAGGAACAGTGTATGAGTTTAAAGGTTGTATAAAAGTAAAGATGGACAGTTCCACGGCCAACGACCGTACACAGACTCCCAGCCTGCATGCTGTCTGTCAGTGACAGACTGTCACCAAACAGCGAGAGCCGACGTGCAGACCGAGAGCTGGGGCCCGGCTGGATGGTTAGGCATCTGCACTACCACGGAGGAGTGCACTACCCACGTGGTATTGGGTTCTTAGGGTTAAGGTATCTCAAAGTCAGTGACGCACTGGGGAGTTGCGAGATATGGGCAATCTGCCATAGATCAAGCCGTCTTCACAGCGCTTATTGAAGAGTCTCACTGATCGTAGTTATGTGGCGTGTTAAATGGTGATGGCGTACTTTCTTAGTGTAAAATTTATTAGCCTGATCCATGACATACTCTTTTATGTAAGGCAGGCTTTCTGTCTCATGCATGTCGTCAATGGACCAATATGCCAAAGCGCTTTATTTTGCAGTCGTTTAAATACCATGTATCGAGTGTTAGATGGGACTCGGAATTGTTCTTAAGTCTGTCTGAGCTACTTATAAATCCTTAAAAATAAGTTTTGTACCACACTCACCTATAATTGAGACATGATACGCTTAAAAACAATAGATACCAGTTAAAAATATTGTACCACTAGTGGAACAATAAAAAAGAAAAAGACAATTATTGTTAATAATATTGACAATTATTATAAACAATAAATTACAGCTATTTTTTACACACAGTTGATACATACTTACATAAATATGATTATAAAGAATGTTCACAAATTCGGAATTATAAATTATTATTAAATTATTATTATTATAAAATTATTAAATTATAAAACTTAAAATTTAATAAATATAAGTAGGTAGGTATACCTAATTGCATTTTTTTACTATTAATCATGGTTTTAATGAGTCGGTGCATAATGTATCTTTGAAATTAGATTTTAAAGGCAAATAATCCCAAAAAACTTAACCTAAATACATAATATATAATAATATATATAATATATTTATCAAATCATTTTTACAAAAGTATTAATTTTTGATTGTGCGACAAAGTAATACGTGCAACTCGTGAAGAATAGTCAATTATAAACTCGCCAACGAATGCTCGTTTATCGACTATTTTACCCAGACGCTTTTCTGTTTCCGTTTTAAGCCTGTTTTATAGATTGCCCTCCCTCCTTCCTTCCTTCCTTCCTTCCTCCCGTAAAAGATGAACAATACGAAAACCGTTGTGCAAGGCAATTTATAAATCGGGATTTATTTTGATAAAAAAATTACTGGATATATTTATTTGTCTTTTTGATTTCTACACGCTGATGAAAAAATCGTCAACTTAAAACTCACCTTGTACACTAATGCTTGTTTTGCATGCATGTTTTGAAGGAAATAAAATGGTCTTAAAATGTTGTACAATATATGCATTCGGTATATATACCGAATGCATACCGAATGATAAAAACATTACGAGTAAAAAAATCAGGTAGGTAATGATGTAGGTGGTGGTGCAGGTACTAAATCCAAGTTTGCGAACAAAACTTTTCAGGGTTTTTTTGTTGGGGAATGATTAGGGGTGGTCCTAAAATGGTACCAAACCGTAATCCGTACGACCTAACCTCTTTATGATTAACTGTTCAGAAAAATCCGGACAACATTTTTGTTTTAGGAGCAAAGTCGTCAGGGTTCATATTGGGAGTGAAAAGGAGGGTTAAATTTTGAAAAGTAACTTTTAATTCAATTTTGCGCTTGGATAAAATTAACCAATTTTCTTTCAATAATTGACAAAGTTATAGCCCTCTCTAAAAAAATGATATCTCCCCTCCAAAATTTATTATAGTTTAAAAAAAATTGTTTTTTCAAGTCAAGTCAAAAACCGTCAATTTTTGGGCAAGGTTTAAATTTACGAAATGTTGCCATCATTATCTTCCACATTTTGCTTAATATGGAGCACATCGCGTACTAAAAATCAAAACCCAGAAAACTATTGAGCGCAGGTCGTGCGCCGCATGTGTCGCATGTCGCCATTTTGGGAGTGAAAAAAAGGGGGGGCTATTCAAAAATTAGTTTTTTCCTATTATTTTTTCAGGAAAAACTTTTACCAACTCGATGTAACTGAGAAAATTCTAGGTAAATCTCAAAAAGAAGCGTCAACCCCATCCGACAATATTTACGTAAAATTATTAAAATTTAATAATATTTAATATCGAACATAGTTTGTAAAAAAAATTAAAAACCGTTAATTTTTCGGCTATAGTTTAAATTTACAAAATGTAGGGTCATCATTCCCTACGTTTTGAGTCATATGAACCACTCTCGAACTGTGCCCTGTTTTTATTCACTATTTTATTTAAACGCTCTTTTGCACTATTATTGCAGAATAATGTCCTAAAAAAAGTTTATCAAACATAGTTTGTTTGACACACTAAAATTTACCCTATTGCCGCGAGTTCGTCAGACTCTCCTCAAAACATAATTGCGAAAAAATTATTTTCGAAATGTTCCCCTCCCTTTTTCACCCCCAAAATGGCGAAATGAGATACCAGCAGGCCGTGAAAAAAATATAGCTGAGAGTGTAAGCAACAAATGGCTCTGTCATGCGGTCAATAGTTTTCCTGAAATTTGATTTTGAAATTTCAGTCCCCGGTAGGGGAGGACAAATGCATAATTTAAGGTGTGTGCAACGTACTACTCTCCAAAAATTTGGGGGTTATGAGGTACCTATTTCAAATACTTTACCGACGCTGATTTTTGAGGGCTACAACTTTTTCATTTAAAGAATTTTTTTCCAAGCCCGAAATTTAATTAAAATTGATATTTCAAAACTTACTCCCTTCCCTTTTTTAAACCCTAAATATTCCCTGACGACTCCGCCTCTGTAAACAAAAATGTGCCTGGATTTTTCTTGACAATGGAACTTAGAGGGTTTAATTTAAGTCTTTCGGGTTACGGTTTATCACCAATATACGACCACCCCCCAACAAGTTTTGAAAGTTTTGTTCGAAAACTTGGATTTAGTACCTACTTGCAATACCTAATCGTAATTTTTTCATCATTCAATATACAACAAATTGTTTACAGAAAATCTTGAGACAATCTAGGATTGTCTTACTGAAGGAAAATATTCTGGATAATGTTATTTATAGGAAATGATTTTCCGAATATTTATTTTAATTGATTTATAGTTTTTTTGCTATTGGGTTTTTCCTAAGCACTTATCTTTATTTTACCCTTAAGTATAATATATATACAGGGTGTCCTGCACTATACAAAAACAAACAAAAATTCCGACAAATTTTCGAGTTATTCAAATATTTAAAAAAATAGAAAGGAGCATTTACTAACTGAGTTTGTGTCCAGAATTGATGGTTGCATATGCGATATTTGTATTTGCTGTCCTTGTTTTACGCATTCTTACGGCCAAGAAAAATGATTCATACTTTTTTGTTGCAAATGGCGACTTCCGTCGCACTTTTTAGTTCGTCTTAAAATGATAAGACTCCTGTTGTTTTTTCTTCTGCGTGCAGCGCTTATAAAATAGTGTAAAAAAATATATGACTTTGCGGCCGAGAAGAGGCAAGATGGGATTCCCGGAATATAAATATTCCTGTATTTCTCGATAATATTCCTCTATTGGTCATTTTATAAATGAAAAGAGGAATTTATATAAAGCTATATTTGAAGGTTGTATAACTTATTTGTGTGCACGGGTTTGTCAAACAACCATTGTCCAATGGTGGATGGATCTTGCTGAAATCATTGGAGGTTAATCATTAAACATAAGGCTGGCAGGTTTAGCTGTAAATCCTCTTTAGTTAAAAGAAGAAGAAGAGAAATAACTTTATTATTATTGAAAAATTTTAATTTTTTGTTTTTAAAAATTAATATTGTTAAAAAAAATATCTTATAACTCGACAACTTTTTGTCAGAATTTAAAAAATAAATATATTTAAAACGACACCCTACAAAGTTGTAAGGGTCAGTAACGGTATACGTACCGCACTAAAGTGTGTGCCATTTTGAGGACATCCTGTATATAGTTTAAACTGTAATGTACTATTATAATTACCTGATTACACCAAAAAGCATAATATATTCCTGATGTATAAATAGCAAGTAAAGATAATGCTATTCCAAATAAGTCATATGCCAAAAATACATCACAATCTTTCTCGGAGCGACAATTAAAAGTGTGATATAGAGATGAAAGGAACATGCACGTCTAAAAAACATTATTAAAAAAATTATAATACACAAAAATAATTTCCTACAATTTCATTTAAATGATATTAAAATGTCCTTTTTAAATTTGTGTTTGCGATTTAAGACCGCAACACGCCATTTTTTTGTAACCGATTTTATTATATATTTTTTAGGACATTGTGCTCGATGAGCTCTATTTGACCATGCGAGAAAATTTTAAATTGAAATTTTTTCCATGCCTGCTAAGACCTATTAGATGGGTTGAAATTTAAAGAACGACCATTGGGCAATTTTTTTTTTCGAAAAAGTGGATAGCGCTACCTCCAATTCCTTTATACAAAGTTTAAACTCAATACATTTGGGTAAAATTTTTGAGTATAAAAATAAAGTCATATTTTTTTAGAATACCCAAAACCCTTTCGTTAGATATCTGGTATGGCTTTAAGTCAAATTAATACTTTATCTTTTTTGTACGCATGATAGACTTTTATACTAGGTCAGTCAAAAATTTTTTTAAAATGTTGCTACGCTGTGCCAAACACCCTATATAATGTATTGAGCTCAAACTTTGCCTAAAGGTATTTGAGGCACGTCTAAATCGTTTAGTTTTTCGAAAAAAAATTGCCTGATGGTCGTATTCTAAATTTCGACCCACACTCACACACTGTATATATTTTTCTACTTCTATTGCATATTGAACCAATCGGGATTTAAATTGGAAAAAAGTGAGGGTGAAACTTACTAACAGATGTCAGAGGCGACTAAAATGATCTTTAAAATCGGGAGAAAGTACAGCTTGGCAAATCTAGGCTAGAGACGTGGAATGTACACGCCCATCGATGCGCAGATGCCAGCTCTTAAAATCGTCATTTGCATTGAGTTTGCCTCAGGATAAAGAACGCTCCGCACAGTGGATTAAAATGAAAGTAAATCAAGTATAAAAAATATATTAATGTTATCCATTATTTGTTAATATTATATCAATAAAAACGTACCTAACGTTAGGTTTATAACCCTAACACAAATTTTCAAAAGGATTATAAGCTATTTTTATTTGCATTAAACATACTTTATAAGAAATTCTTGTTTACCTTAAATACATTTAATTCTATTCTAATTGTACAAATAAATCGAAAATTTACTATTTTTTACTCTTAAATAACTTTAATAATGTTGATATTTAAACCTTTAGTCCTCTGTGCGGCCGTATCATGCATTCCTTTTCTTCCGAATGCGCTCTCTCTTTAAAGTTTTGCGCACACTGCAAGTTTTTAAAGTTTATAGCTAGATTTGTCGAGTTGTAAGGTAACATATAATATTTTATTTGTTTTACCTGAAAACACATTAAGACAACTCCTACTATTATTTTATCACTCATAGAAGCATGTATTTTTAATAATAAGAGATCTTGAACTGTTAGAGCTACAAAGAGAACCAATCCAAAAATATGTGACCAAATATTGACCGTCTCATTTGTCCACCATAATATACTAAAAAGACAAAAAAAAATATATTTATTGCTAAATTTAATTATACACGCTTATTTAAGATATCGCAGTAAAATAGGGGACATTAAGACCGTTTAAATAACATTAATATATTCAATTTAATAACACTACTTTGTGACCATCAATAGGCAAACTTAATACAATTATCATAAGACCATCAACAGTTTTCATATCGACCATTAATATATATATATATATATATATATATATAAACTGCTCTTCAAAAGTTAGGGAACTTGCAGAAAAATTATTATGTATGAACTATTTTGAAAATTTTGAATATTGTGGCATACTAGAGAAAAATTAAAATAATGTGGAGACCAAAATTAATATATATTTTCACATTTTATAACCAAAAGGGAAATTAATAAAAAGTCTGATTTAACACAAATTAAAAAAAACCTATAATTTTAAATTTAATAAGTTGTGTAACCACCTCTTGCATCAATAACGGCTTGACAACGCACAGTGGGAGGAATTTCAAAAATCGCGGACAAAATTAGGGACACATTATTTTGAGCTATTTTAAGGTTTATGCGGTGGTAAATTAATGCTAAAATATTAATATTAATAAAATGTTTTAATTATGTACACAAATTCACAAATTTGTTTTAAACAATTTGGAAAAGTTCGGTTTTGTCGATCCTCCATTCTCCAAAAATATAAATTAATAAACAAATATATTACGCAATATTACCTAAGCTAAAAATAGAAAAATAAACAAAAAAAAAACAATAAAAATTAAGGAATGTTCGAGCAAAATCACTTATATATGTACATTTTTTTTCGTTTTTCGTTTTTTCTTTGTAAATTTCGCATCTTTTGCTTTATTTATATCGACTACTAAAGTGACTTGGTCCAAAAAAACCTTATATCGTTGTTAAAATAACATTTAAAAGTTGATTTTAAAGCAAAACCGGTTAAATCCACGTTTTTTACCTACTCTCTAAAAATGAATTAGTCAAAAATGACTAATTTAATAGTAATTAGTGGCCACTTGTACCATAGTTAACCATGGAATATAACGGTATCCCAAAATTTAACATCCAATTCTTATGTAAAATTGTCCCCTGAATCCGAAAATGCCATAAAAAATTATGAAAGTGGAGCAGTTTTTGAAATATAGTCAATTCCATATTAAATGAAGAATTGATCTCAAAAACTGTTTTACTTTTTTAACTTTTGACGATATTTTCGGATTCAGGGGACAATATAAGATTTATCAATAATATCCAGGTTTTCGGTTAGGTACTTTAAAAGTTTGTTGTGTTTTTCTTTGTTACTAACATTTTTAATAAGTTCATACAACTCCTTATTAGTCGTTGATGGCATTTCTACATAAAAAGAAGCAAGTTATTCAAATAAACATGTAATATTTATATTAATATTAATATTATAACTTACCAAATATTATTATAAAGCGTTAATAAACACAAAAACACGATGAGATTGTATGTGTGATTGACTTTCACTGGAAACTGACGTTTTAGAACTAGCAAAAGGCAACTATGATGACTTATAAATATTCGACTAATATGATAAATTCATGGACATATTTCATATTCTGCTGACCAAACAGGCAAAAAAAGGCAGCTTAATTCTTTTGATTTTAAAAAAAGAAAATTTGATGAACGTTCTGGTACCAAATACTTTGCCTCACACCAAGACACACCTAAAGAAAAATCTTGTGGTTTGTAAAAGATTTATCTACTTTGAAAGGCGATGGTAAAAGGTTTATAAAAACCGTATTTATGGTAAAATTTGCAATTTTAGACTTTTATATGAAAGAACAAGGATAAGGAATGTGGAAAAATATACCATCATTTCCTTTCATTAATTACGCAAAACAAAAATGGGCTTGAAAAACTTACATACAATTTGCTCTAAAAAATCGACACGAACAATGTGACTTTTTAAGCAAGTTTAAGCGGGCATTTTATCATAAAAAAATATATTTCTTTTAAAATCATAATCTCTGTGCTTTCATTTTTTATCTCGTAATTTAAAATTTACAATGTTGATTTTTACAAAATAGGGTTTTGTCCGCGATTTTTGAAATTCCTCCCAGTGTGCAACGTCTAGGCATACTTGTTACAAGGTTATCCAGCATATCTTGAGGAATTTGTGCCCAAAGAAGGGGCAACAGATGCCTTAGTTCTGCAAGGGTCTCAGGTCTTGGCTGGTGGTCATCTAGGGCTCGCTGGAGAAAATCCCATGCATGTTCTATCGGATTAAGGTCGGGTGACATAGGTGGCAACGGCTAATGTGGAATACCAAGGTTTTCTATTGCTCGCATCACTCGTACAGCGCGATGCGGTCTCGCATTATCGTCTAGAAAATGAAAATTTTGACCTACAGCAGCGTGAAAAGTGGTAACAATATTATTTATAATCTGCTCCTCATAAATTTCACTATTCATCGTGTTTTCACACATGTACAATTCGGATCTTCCTCCTAAACATATGCCACCCCATACCATAATTGTGCCACCTTTAAAAGGGTAAACCTTTTGAACTGTCCTTAAATTTCTTGGTGTTCCTGGTGCTGTCCATACACGTACACGTCGACTGTCAGAAAATCGACCATATCTGGACTCGTCAGTAAAAAATACAGATTCCCATTCTTGTACCCAATTTGCATATTCTCTCGCCCATCGTAATCTTGCTTGTTTGTGTACGACAGTTAATGGAACTCGTCGAAGTAAACGCCTGGAAACCAGATTGTTATCCAGTAAACGTCTCCTAATCGTTGCAATGGAAATTGAAACTCCTGTAGCATTTTCCAGGCGGCTTGCTAGTTGACGGCACGTCGATAACGGCTCTCTACGAGCAGATAGAGTCAAATAATGGTCATTTTGAGGTGTTGTTTTCTTTGGTCTTCAACTTCTTCGTCTTTCTTCTACCGATTCAGTCTCCAAAAATCTAGAGTAAAGTCTAGAAATTACACTTTTCGACACATTGAAATGATTTGCTACATATGCCTGAGTTTGACCTCCTTCTATCATACCAACAGCCATATTTTGTTGAGCTATGGTTAACTTCCTTCTCTCCATGACTATATTAAATTTGTTCAATGTTAGCCTTTAGATGTCGATTTTTAGTTAGTTAACTATTACCGTACGAAAACGAAATGTGCATTATTTGTTAAAATCGAGTAAAGTAACAAAAAATCTTACAAAAACTGCCTTTGTGTTTTTATATAATTAATCAAAATACTGCATTTATTTACATACATAAATTTCAGAACATTAAATACGAGGGTTGGTCGAAAAATTCAGAGTTCCCTAACTTTTGAAGAGCAGTTTATATATATATATGAGTATGAGTATGAGTATAAGAGACGTATAACCAGCCCCATTTCCTCTTGACTCTCGAACCCCGTACAGGCCTATGTTTACTTACGCCGATTTTTGTTCTTCCCCAGCAACTTCACGGCTTCACCCGTGTTTGCTGGGTGCGAATGTCCATTGCGTTTTGTACTGTCCCCTATTTGGAGCTCGAGAGCGAGAGGCGAATAGTTATAATAGCCATTCCCGGGTTCGCCGAGCCTATGCTATACGCTCAGTGGGGTATGGAGAAGGGACGGGAGGATGTTGGTTTTTGGGGGACAATTACGCCGACTTAAAACTAAGTACGACGCGGAATCCCCCTAGCCTTTCGGAGATCGCGCGCGGACTCTCACTCCGCAACTATTTTATTTTGTCGTTAATTTTAAAAATCGACCACCCACGGCGCTGCAATATTAAGTATCTTCCTATCCCGAGTTCTAATACAGTCAGTGCTTATTTGTGCCTTGGTGTATGCGTTTATTGCCAAATAATAGCCACTGCGGACTGTGAGTCCGCGCGCGAGCGTTCAGTTTAAATATTTGTATACAGTTTTTTTTTAACAAAAAGGTAAGTTTTAGCTTTCATTATTACAGTTTGGGATGGATGAATATTAATTATAAACGTTTTATAGATGGCGTGCCCTTGGAGTCGAGAGCAGGCTCGCTTGCAAAAGCTTATGCAAGAATGTTTGGAAGAAGATAATGAGGACCCAAATAGTGATTTTGAGGACAAAGAAGATGATGGAGAAGAAGACTATTTAGAAAGGCAAGATTTGGATAGTGATACCGAACAAGAAATTTCAGACCCGGAAGACACTGATGAAGTCGCTAGGGAAACGTACCCTGTGTTTATTGGAAAAGATGGAACTGAGTGGGCGAAACATATGACGAAAAGAAAAGTGAAAACTAGGGCGGAGAACTTGATAAAACATCTTCCAGGGGTAAAAAGAGCTGCGAAAACCCTAAAAAGAGAAATTGACATTTGGAAGCATTTTTTTACAGACAGTGTACTGAATTTGATAGTCGAAAATACAAACAGACACATTGCCATGAATAGAGGCAATTATCAACGCGAAAGAGACGCAAAAGACACCGACATATTGGAAATTCAAGCACTGTTTGGATTACTTTATTTATCTGGGGTATTAAAATCTAATCGACTGAATATTGAAGAAATATGGACACAGAATGGTACTGGCGTGGAGCTATTTCGAATGACGATGAACCAATGTAGATTTCGATTTCTTCTAAATCATTTACGTTTTGATGATTTGGCAACTAGAGATGAACGAAAACAGACCGACAAACTTGCCGCCATCCGAACAGTATTTGATACAGTTGTAAGTAGCTTTGATACGGCCTATACACCATTTGAAATGCTCACAATAGACGAGAAACTAGAAGCATTTCGGGGGCGTTGCAACTTTAGGCAATATATACCTAGTAAACCCAATAAATATGGGCTAAAAATATTTGCTATGGTAGACGCCAAGACTTTCTATACATGCAATATGGAGGTTTACGTAGGAAAGCAGCCTGAGGGACCATTCCAGGCAAGTAATTCTCCTACTGCAGTGGTTCAAAGATTGTGCCAACCAATAAAAGGTACATGCCGTAATGTGACAGTTGACAATTGGTTTACCAATATGGAGCTA